GATGAGCCAAAATATTTTGACAAAAAGAAATCAAACTTGAGAAAATGTACTTTTGAAGTTTCAAGAAAAGTAAAAATAATCAAGATTAAAGTAATTATTTCCATGTTATGTCAGATATTACCGATTTTGCAGTATTTTCCATATTTCTAACGCAGTAAGGGCTATTTCTTGCGTATTTTTTTCAACTCTTTTTGGAAATTGGTTGTTGTAAGTTTTTTTTTGTTCCCTTAACAACTTCACACTTGCTGTTTTTAAGACATTTTCATGTTGACTATGACAGGAATCTGAAAACGTGCTGCTTTAATATAATATGTAACGGTTATTTCATGTGTGAGATTTAAAGGTTTTATAACGTACAGTTCTTTTTATTTGATCTATAACTAGCTTTATAGGGACTTCTTCGAACATTGTTAACAAAAAAAAAAGGACTGCACTCTCTGTTTTTCCAGAATATTTTTTTCTGATTTCGCAAAATGAACAAAAACGAAACGCGTTTACGATTTTAACTCAATACCATGGGGCTAAGAATAACGCAATAGGGATTTTCAATTTAATTAAGTTTAGTTTTTATTATCTTCTAATTATTTTCGCGTTTGAAGTCCCCCATATAATCTATTTAAGAATTTCATATTTGATGTACTGAGGATTTTGGAACTCAGTGGAACTCCTTCAATGTTTTAAGCCCATCAATTTCGAAAGAAAAACGTCGAGCTATTACGATAACTGCGTTTATCAATTTACAAAAACTAAATGTAGCCCATTATTCAAACATTTTGAATAATTGCTTATAATGACAGGCTGCAGTTGTAAGACATCTGTCATTATTCTATAAGATATATTTTATGTGACACTTTTTTTAACTGAGAATTTTTGTCAAAGTTACTTATTACGTAGAACTATAGATACCAAGATGAAACATTGATATCTATGATAAAGAACGGTTGTTAGACAAGGAGCATCATCATGAAGGTTTAATTGTTAGGAGTTATGTCTCTTTTTAACTTTCTCCTAATTTATTTCGCTTGGGAAGATCTCAGTTATGAAAGTTATTGCTCTTAATACATGAAAATATTTAATAAGTAAGTAAGACCATGAATTATATGTTGAGTCATATACATATTTTTTAAGAAAATGAGAGACCATCTTATACAAAAGTACGATGCTATGCTTCAGATAATGCTTCAGACATAATCATAAACAAATACAAATATACATATTCAAACATTTTACCTCTAATTAATAGAATCGCAAAAACAAAAGTTTTAAATATCATTGATTGATTCTGCTTTCATTGCACGACCGTCATTTCAATTTGACTATGTAAGAAAGTTGTCAGTGCATCCTTTACTATCAGAATATTGTTGTTGACTAAACAGAAAATAAACAGCAAGACAAAGAAGATTGTGTTCTAACAAATATTTTAACTGTTTACGTGATTTATTTTTCTATGTAGATCTACTTTCTATATGATATTAAAGGGTCAAGTCCGTATTGTTACATGATTATATCATATTTCGGCCCGCTGCCACTACACGCGCATATCGGGTGCTTGGTTTAAGTAATTATATTACACATGCTTTACATGTAATGTTGACCTTAAGTAAGGTTTAGTTGAATAAAATTAATATCATCACCCATCTCCTCGATTGCCGTCTTTACCTGAATATTTCATTGTATTACCGTCATTTGAATGAATTTTGATAATTCTTTGAAGTTATTACTACACATTTTTCTTCATTACTGGACATTTAATTATATCATGCTTCATGGTTAAGCATGTTCAATTTAAGAAAACAAAGCTCCGTGTTATCAACTGTACAGAAATTCCCGTTTCATTATAAGTTTCTTACTCACTTATAAAAACTACTCATAGAAATTCCAAATGTTTTTCGATGGTATACCGATAGAGATAATGTAAATGAAAACATTTTTATCTGAAATTATTTAGATTTATTTTTTCAAGTGAAGGATACGATTCGTATCGTTATTACAGGAATGCCAAATATCTGAACTTGCTGCAAGCTGTAATAGCTTGAAAACTTTTACATCAGTTTTTTTTCTGTCACTCCATCTAATGTAAGAAATGCTCTATCACAGTTTAAACTTTTGTTCTAGGAGGTTTGCAGTTAAAGAAACTGTGATATTGAATTCATATTAAATTCTAATTCATGAAAACGTAAGAGTTTAAAGAAATAAAATAATATTTAAAACCTCGCGTTATCATCTCAAGAAATAAAAGTGAAAATGTTGTTTTTCATATTTAAAGGTGCATCTTCAAATGAATCTGTATTTTGTCTTGACGACTAAACTGAATGGACCTTTTTTTATCATATTTTAGTTTTGATTTATCGTTGCAAATGATTAAATCACGAGAATACTTTTCTTTCATATATTTTGCTGAACAATTGACATTAAATATTGTAACAGACCTTCTTTTGGTTGAGGTAAAACATGTGAACATGTTGTATAAAATTCCCAATATATCTAAGACAGTCAATAAATATGAAGCAGTGTAGACTTTAAGCGTTAAACAAATGATTTGTATTACTGTGGGTAGCCTATTTAAAGTTTGATATTTAGGATCACCATTCCTTATGTATATCCCTAGATGTCAATGCCTCACAAATTTACCTATACCAGTAAAAGTGCGTTCTGAATTTTCTTTTTTTTTGTTTACATAATATTTGATTACACTGTCGTTTGTTTTTTGTAACACCCTACTTTACTGTAATGTTTCGAGATGTCTATCAAATGGTGATATTCAGATATCATCTCCGCAAACTGAAAGCAACATTTGTAGTTTCAAATGTCTTGGCTCCCTATGTTTTCTTGATCATGTTTTATCTATCATGTCACGTAGTATTTAAATAAAACTTCTAATTTAATGATTTAAATAAGATAGAATCCCTCTAATTAACTTCACATTAATATTTCTTTTTTAAAAAAGGATATAATTCCCCTAAATTACTTCACATTATTTTTTTCTTTGCTATAAGTATGCCAAAATGTAACTTTACCACTTCGAAAAGCAATTTCGAACTACATTTATATGTTTCTATCAATACACAGTTTTTACAAACATGCTTAGTTTCCGTTTTATGAGCAGAAAATGTCTCCTGATTTAGTTCAAGGTGAACATTAAGTTTATATAGTGATCTACATTAGTTGAATTGTTTCTTAGTATGTGCTTTTACGACCTAATCTGCAATATAATGTGTATAGAGATCTATGTAATTATAATTAATTTACAGATTTTTTTAAAGTTTCAAATGTCCTTAATGACATAAGCTTTTGATAAATTAATCATATTTAATATTTCTTAAAAGGTCACAATTGATCGTGTAAATACATTTCAAATGAAATTAACTTCATATGTTGCAAAGAGTTTTAGAATATTTTTTGCACGAGAGTTTTTAGCTTACCTGAGCACTATGTGCTAAGAGTTGCGCTTTTATGATGGCAGAAGGTCCGTCGTCATTCGCTGTTCATAACTTTTTTTATCTACTGAATTTTGACTTAACTTCAAACAAAGTAATCCTTAGGTGGTCTTCATCAAAAGATATATAGCTGGTGCCAATCTGATGCAAAAGCAGGTCACAGGAGCTAAAAATATGCTTTAAAAATGGAATCTTTATATTTCTTCTTTCTCAAAAACGACAATATCAAGAGTTTACATATTTGTCATGTAACATTGCTATTTGACCACTACAAAAGTTATAAAAGTCATGCCTCTAAGATAAAAAATAACAGATATTTGTAATGAAGCATTCAGTAGCCGACATCTACAAGTATTTAAAAAAAATACAATGCTTTGATTAAAAATGACAAACCTAATGTCACCTCATTACTGATATTATGATTTTATCTAGCAATGTATTTCAGTAATTGTCACTGGTACAAATGAAAAATTTAGTACTTCACTTCAGTTTTGTTATAGTTTTCTGGTCCTTTGGCATCATTGAGTCCAGCAATTTTAAGTGTTGAGAACTAAGTACCGCTCAAGCTGGTCAAAAAGGGATGTTGCACTTATCCATTATCCCTCATGTACAGACTCATTCAAACCGAGTCTGCAATTTTCATGTAATTTGCTGCTTTTTCTTGCTTCCGAGGGAGCACTTTTTTCCAGATATATATTGTTCTAAAATCAAAGTCATATTACACAACACTTAATGAATATTGTTTTGATAATAAAATATAGCAAACACCTTGCTTCAAGCCCTTTGATTTACGCATCTTTCATACAATTGTTTGTAAAATTCAATGAAAGTTTACTTTGTAGCTGGCTCTGTCTCGAATTTTACTAATTTTGTTTTGTTTTTTGTCTAAATATTTATTGCATTTTGACAAAATGATTCTGGGAGAACTAAACAGTTTTCTACGCCCTCTGATTAAAAGTTATTTTAAGAAACATCTTGCCGCACTTTTTATTACAACATTGAACTTAGGTAATAGGTTTAAGTTCTCTTTAAAAGCTGAAATATTGCAGAATTATTTGATCCTGGAAATGTGAAATTTGTTACCGAATAATGAAGGAAAAAAATAAAAAACTTAGCAAAACTGTTTTTGCTAATTTGCCTCATATACTTTAAACTAAATTTGGTTTCAAACATTATGAAAAATAGTTTTTGTTATGCTATAAATGTTGGATATCATAAATAGATAAAAGTACTATATAATAAAATATTCTAATTAAATCTATATTGAATCAAAACGGAGGCATGGTTTGTATCAAATCTATTTGTCGTCTGTTTCTGTGGAAACATGCAGTTGTAAGAACATTTAAGCCGCGTCACGACAAAACCAACATAATGGGTTTGCGACCAGCATGGATCCAGACCAGCCTGCGCATCCGCGCAGTCTGATCAGAATCCATGATGCTACGAACCATATAACAAGACGAGAAACTGATAGCGAACAGCATGGATCCTGATCATACTCATTTGTTAATTACTTGCATATGAATTTTATTTGTATTTAGTATTTTTTTATAATTATTTCAGTTTTGGCATGCTCCATGATGGGGCGAGCAATGGTTGCGAGGACCCACCTGGCAAACAACTGTTTATTATGAGTCCAAGTCTTGTTGCTGACAGCATCACAAAGTCATGGTCAAACTGCAGTAAAAAGTCAATTACGCAGTTTATAGAGTAAGTTTTTGACTAATTGTAACAATGTATGATTTTATTGTTTAACAAGCATTTCTTAATGTAAATAAAACTAAATGTCGTAACAGGTTACAATTTGATTTAAAAAAGTTAGATTAAACTTATAAAATCATAACAATACATGTGTGAAATGAGAACATTATAAACGTGTTTATCGTGTAATAGGTTGTGTGGGGGCTGCGTTCATTGAACGCCGCCATATTGTTTATCATATTTTTTATATCAGTCGTGACTGGGGTTATTGCCTTGATGATGAGCCTACCTCACACAGTTATGAGTATCCCGTGATGCCTCCAGGTACCATGTATGATGCTAACCACCAATGTCGTCTGCAATACGGTTCAGATGATGCTGAGATATGCACAAATGAACAGGTACTTGAATGTCTAAACAAACATTCTTCAATAAACATAAAGAATGATATTTCAGTGAAATAGTTTAAGTCGGATACTGTGCTTTCTAGAGCAATAGTTCTCCGCTACTTTGCTTTCTAGAACAAAAGTCCACCGCTAAAAGAATATTTGTATAAATTGCTTAACTGAGATTACACCCAAACACAAACATAATAATTGAGTTACTATTTCGACTGTTTAGTTATAAAAGTCGTTTAAATAAATGTGTATTTTGAAATTTTATTTTTAAAAGAACAAACAGATTTTTGACGATAGATACTTTGTCCTGCACTTAAAACTTAGTTGTATCGTAATAAACACAGAATATGTTAGGAAAATAAGAAAACATTTTAATTAATTCAGGTTTACTCTTTATATTTAATTCAATATTTAATTGAATAAGATTTGAATAATGTTAATGTCTCTTTTACACAGCTGTATATGTACTACTATTGCACTTTATAAATAGTCCATACGTCTGTAAACGCACAACTAGATGATTACTTTAACACATCTGTAGGCTGTAAACAATCAATTTATATAAATAGGATGTATGTTCAAATCTCTGGTGTAAAACAGACAACCGATGCTCCACACATCTTGAAGCTGCAGCAGAGGGAACCATCTGTGGAAAAGATAAAGACAAGGTATACATAGACTGTATCACTCTAACTTTTTATCACTTGGTTGTAACACTTTGTTCTGCTGCACATAAATGCAAATTTAAAAATTCCACTTCAATTGACAATAGAACAAGATTCTGTGCAATATGAAACATACTAACTCAGACTCAGCATGAAGTCTGAATTTCGCCCAAAGACTTAAAATTTGACGCCAAAACTCAAAAGACTAATAAACGTGTAAGTTCTTTTTAGTTTTACATACTAATACAATGAATAAGTAAATGTTGTTTAAACGATAACACTTAGCTATATATAGTGTAATGTTCATTTAATTTTTACAGTGGTGCTTTGAGGGTAAATGTGTTAAGATTGGTTATAGACCGGAAGCTATTAATGGCGAGTGGGGTGAGTGGACATCATGGACGGGCTGCACGAGAACTTGTGGGGGAGGCGTATCTCATTCCCAGAGACATTGTGAAAATCCAGCGTTAGTATCTAGTTAATATACACGTAGATACATTGATTTGAAACTTTCTTCCTAAGATGTATTCAAATACAAATAGTTTCTAAAGGATATGACAACAAATAGTTTATTAAGGAAATGATAATAATTCATGGAGATATTTGTTGCAATTTATATTGAATAAGATATTGTTAACCAGTTTGAGCTAATGATCTGAAATTTTTGACAAGAGTTATTGGTCAAGACTTACATCAAATAGAAAATATATCCCGAAATATTATATTCAGTCCCGTCATGCCAAAAACCTTAGTGTAGTTAATTTAAAGCATCGCTTGATATTTCATATCTTTTAAATTTCAGACCGTCACATGGTGGAAAATATTGTCTTGGTGAACGAAAGCGGTTTAGGATTTGCAATACAGAAGTAAGCGCCGGATGTGTAACATAACCTTTTAAGCTTACATAATCTTGTTTTTGCTGTATTTTATATAAGACAAATTACGCGCCGTTTTCTGTGTGTTACACTAGTCAGCTTCTTAATTAGAAGGAATTAAACATACTTTGGTGAAATAAGCCTACAGATAATTTAATGATAAAAGAGCTGCACGTGTATGTTGATTAGTGCAAATGCATCATTTCTTTACAAGAAGTTGTATTTTTCAAACCTAATTTCTTCTGTTTTCTTTCTATCTGAAATATAAAATATATTTGTGTGCTTTTTAATACTTATATTTTAATATATTTTTTAACTTTGGTAGTTTTTTTTATACCGATACAAGAGGACCTAGCCTGTAGATTTTATATCAAAATCAAAATTCAACATATCTATCATCCTGGGTGGTTATTTCTAATTTTCTTTTAACTGTGTTTTATAGAAACAGTAGAAACAGTTTTTTTTATAAATATTTTGAGTAAAGTTCTATCTAAACATATTTATATTTGACAGTAATGTATTTGTAGATATTAAACATATACACATAACATGCTGTTATATTTATTTATTAGCTACCGGCACATGCATGGCACGTCTTTAAATTCCTGAAGGGTTTTGAGTGATGCCACTTAGGCTATTATATCTATTTTAATACGCACTTTCCCTCTTAGCTGTCGGCACATGATTTATTTCAAGGCCGCTCTTAATTGTTACAAATAAGTTTTTCATGCTGTGTGTATTTTATATTTGATAAGTAGTAAATTGCATGATTGTACGAATATAATTGCTTTATCTAGAACTGTTGCTTTGAAGTTATGAAAATACTTGCTCTTTTTATTATCTTTAAAAGTTTTGTATATTAACAGTAATAAATAATGAAATATCATAATAACACGATCTGTTTGATGTACTTTCAAGTTGTTTTTTTTACAAGAAATGGTATATTTTCATTTGAAAGAAATATTGTGTAAGGTGGTAGAGTGTAAATGTCTCTGCAGTTGTTTTGAAAACAAACTAAAGATATCTTCCTGATACATGTAGCTGCAAGTTGAAGTAACATGCGTAGAGTTACATTTACACGTGTTTACGTCAGCGCAAGTTATTACGTATTAATACAGATTCCTTTTAAATTCATTTACCACGTATGCGATTATATACTCAAAATAGTATGGTTTTACCATCTGTGTTATACACCAATTTATATCACAGAAAGACGATAAGCTAAAATGCATGTATTTATAAATACTGATTATATTGAGATATTGATATTTCAATATTCTTTAAAAAAAGTTTATAATTGTCTTTCTACATTTTATTTTCAAGCAATGTAAGGATAACGAAATTACTTTCAACGAAGCACAGTGTTCAGAGTTCAACTTAATTCCGTACAAAGACAGTTTCTACGAATGGGAACATGTTCCAACTTCAGGTATAAATCAATGCTTATTCAATACAAGATAGACTTGAGCTAATTATCGGAATTTGTTCTCAGTTGAAGTGTGTATGTAAAATGAAATTACATGTACATTTACTTTACGGGATTTTCTTCATTTTAAGTTTTAAAATAGACACTCGTTTATCAGATACTACGCATGTTTGTAAATGTTTGCTGAAGACTTTAATTTTCTGCGAACAAGCAAACTCTCTCATTACGCTCATTTTGATATGTGTCTTATATGATGAACAAGCAATTATCATAGTATTGCAAGCAATCCATAAGTCCCGTACCGGTTAGAACCCCAGCAACATTCTAATGGGCCATTGGCCATTCAATTTTACCAGTGAATGAATGACATGAATGAACTTAAATCTTTTGAGTTCTAAGTTTGTCTATATCATAGTAATGTGTTAAGTTTCCCTACCTTTTAAGGAAATTATGTTTATACAACAGATGATCAAAAGGTCCAATTTTCTCAGGATGAATAAGTATAACTAATGTTTCAACTTTTCTCTGCTTAAGTAAACTTGTTGGAAAAAATCTTTAAAAGTGATCTCAGGAAACAGTTTTTATGAACAGCCAGACAGACAGACATACAGACAGACTGAAGGAGACTCTTATTTTACAAAAATATAACATATTTTAATGCAAAATTCTTAAAGAGGAGATAACTCTTGAAATAAAGATGCTAGATTTATGAACATTGTCATAATGTGAGTTTTACTTTAGTTTAAAGATACCATTTATAGTCACAAAGGAGATAAGTAAAAAAAATTTCAAATATAGCTTTAACTATAATGTTTAGTAAGAGACAAAGATGAAACTTAAAAAAAATATAATGTAGGTTTTGATAATGAATGTTTATTTGAAGAAAATCTATGAAGAAAAAATTACAAAGTTAAAGAATGAATAAGAAAAATTCAAAGTATAAGGAGGAGATAATTCTGGAAATATGGTTTCTAGATTTATAAACCTTGTCATATTATTACGACGTGGGATTTTAAAGTAAATCCTATAAGGAATGAAGAAGTTGGAGTAAAAAAATACCAATTTCCCAAAAAAATCTAAGTTCAAGGGGGACACAATTCTTGAAATAGTTATTAAAAAAAGACAACATTTTTTTCATAAAAATTCTAAGTTCAAGGGAAGTAATTCTGATAATTTTTGTGCTAGAGTTATAAACCTTGTCACATAGGATGTGGTTGATGACCAGAAACTTATATTTAAAGTTTGAAGTAAACACCTTAAAAAATAAAGAACTTATAGTGAAAAAGCGTAAAAATTCAAATCAGAAATCTTGAAATCCAGTCTTTTTGTTGGCATAGCAACCAGAATTTTCAACATAGAAAAAAAGAAAAAGGTGTGCATAATCTCCACACTGCCATCTACCAATATTTCAAGTGTCATAAAAATATTTTCAGTACTTTTTGAGTTATCACTGGTTCCAGTTTATGTGTTAAATTTGCCATATTTTCAGTCTATTTGTTGCCATGGCAACCAGAATTTTCAACATAGGAAGAAAAGAAAAAGACGTGCATAATCTCCATACTGCCATTTATCCATATATCAAGTTTCATAAAAATATTTTCAGTACTTTTTGCGTTATCGCGAGATCCAGTTTTGTGGACGGACGGACGGACTGACGGACTGACAGACAGACAGACTGATGGAGGGTAAACCTAAAGTCCCCTCCGGTTAAACCGGTAGGGGACTAATAAGGGTGCTTTCATCACAAGGTTAATCATAAAAATACACAAGTGAATTATGAGAATAATTGTTTTCTTTTTATATTGTAGAAACACCGTGTCAGTTACACTGTAAGCCAAAGCAACGTTTCTTCTCCGTGTTGATGAAAGATATAGTAACTGATGGTACTCCGTGCACAGCAGGCACGAGAAACATGTGCATCAGTGGAAGGTGTAGGGTACGTACCGTAACTTTCATGTCAAAATGGCCAGTATCTTTTTACATTTACTGAACAATAGTTAAAACAATTAGTTAACGTGTAATGGAACCTAGTTGAACCAGTTTGTTTACATAGAAATGATGCAATAACAGTTTTGCAGCAAACATTACAGCATTTCTCAAACAGTCACTCTTTTTTCTTGCTTTTGACATTAAGCATTCTTTTTCGTTACACATGTCCGCCATAACAACAAACTTTAGTGCCTGTAGTGCGGCTTTGGCGAAAATGAGGAAGTGCAAAAGAAAAACAACACCATAAAACACGAAACAAAAGAAAGCGTGCCTAAATTGGCGAGATGAGATTTAGCTTGAATCAGCTTCCATATACATGTACTATTAATTCCAATTAGAAAGTACATATTAACTAATTTGAAAGTTAACAGAAAATAAACCTTTTTTTATATATACATTTATGCTATTATGCTATTATGCTTGAATCAATTAATTTAAAACATAATATTAAACGTTACATGAGTGTATCTTTAATTAAAGTAAAATCAAGAAAACTATATTTCAAATATGTTTCCATGGTTTCAGCATATTGGATGTGACTATGTGATAGATTCTAAGGCACGTGAAGACAGGTGTGGTGTTTGTCACGGTGATGGGTCCACGTGCACGACAATCAAATCACAATTTAATGAATCACAAGGGCTCGGTATATAATTATATACAAATATACTTCATTATCAAATATGTCTTTAATATACTTTTAGACTGAGGATAAACTTTTTATGACTTTAACTTACGCTTGTATCTATTCTCATAATTTGAGCTGAATTCACCATTAACAATTTTTTTTTAATCAATTAAAAAATTCTCTAAGCAAAACACAATCTTTTGAAAAAATTGCCATTTTCTTTCTCGATATGTCGGTTTTGACTATGTTTACCAATACAAGCAGAAAGAGCTATATGCTTGTTTTACATCTAAGTATGTCAGATATTTTCGAATACTGTAAATGACATGCAACATAAAACAACGGTGTGTGGTGCATTTTTCTGTCAACTTAAAGAAAAGCATGTATATTGTATATTTAAACATTTTGTTTTTCAGGTTATGTGGAAGCGGCTGTTATACCGGAAGGTGCACGTAATATTCGGGTTGAAGAAGTTGCCGCTGCTAGCAATTTCCTGGCTTTACAAAACGCTGAAGGTAAGGACAGTTAACCTCATTAACTCGTATGCTATTGATTTATTATTTAAGCCCTATCTTGACAGCATATGGTATAATTGTGAATGCTATTTTAAGTCATCTGTCGCCTTATGTGAAAATATTTTTAAAGTCGATTGCCAATTATATTTCAGCTATGAGTATTTATTTTTTTCTGAAAATATACAATTTGATTTATCTAGATAATACTTAAATATTGCTATCTTAAAAATTTACGAAATTATATATTATTTGCATCATAAAAAAGATAAGAATTTATTTCAGCGTATTGCAGCATACAATTGTTATAGTTATAAATTTATCTCATCTGCAAGAATTATTATTTTGTATTTCAAGGTGAATATTACCTGAACGGACATTGGTTTATACAATGGAGTGGTGATTATAAAGCTGCTGGTACCACTGTTCAATATAAGCGTGAAGGTAACAAGGAGTCAGTCGTAGCTACAGGACCTTTGAAGGAACCGTTGCACGTGATGGTATAACATTACTGTTAATATTCATGCTCTACTTTTTCTAACCAAGTATTATCTATATCTTTTAAAAGTTTTACTTCTTTATTAGTATAGTTCAAACATATCGATTATACCTCGATTGTGTTAAAGGATTACTGGTCATTTGAATTATGAAAGAACTTGGAAGTGAATCTAAAACGGGGCTCGAACACAAAATTCCTTTTTTGTTTTAGGCAATATAAGACAAAGGTAATTTTGTACTCATTTTTAAAAATTCTAATGTCTATTTATTATATGTCGTCGCAAATTCGTCCTTTTAAATAATAAATCAAGATAAAATACACAAATCGTACGTATTAGATACTCATTATTTTTGTAACTTATCGAAATGCCTTTAAATTTTCGGAAAAGTATCAACTTTCATAATTTGCAATTTCAATACCAGATTTATTGGAGAAGATTACTTTTGTAATTTTAACTAAACGAGATGTTCTCATTAAATTGCAGTTTTATCAAAATTTATTGAATATCTCGCTATAAGGTAACGACTATAAGGTTGAATTTTTGTCCAGTGATAGAGATTTATAGAATTTATTCCTAATTATGTCTGGTTTATAGCAAGTATGTTTTTGTGTTATCAATTATTGCATATTTTATTGTTTTGATTTGCTGATATATAAAACTTCTGCATAAAATGTATGATTAATTTCTCCTGCGATAATTACAACGGAAATATTTTATCACCGTATATTTCTTCTTCGAAAGTTAAAGCAGCGGCCCCTAGATTCATGCTTTTTTCATAAAATAAACAATAATAATAAAACGAAAAAAAAAATAAATAAAAAAATAACCAACACAAAACAATTAATTTCATTTTGGAAATAAAGTTCAATATGGGTATTTTTCTCTTTTGCCTATCGCAGAAACAGCAATTATGATGGTAAATGTGAAACAATTTGAAACAGAAAGTTTTTCGACTTTGCCATGATATCTGCATTATCCATTTTCTGTTACCTACATTCCTTAGTCCCTATAAGTGAACTGATATCATCAAAAAAAAAACTTTATTTTAAACATTTGAATAAATATTTTTAGCTGCTGTTACAGTCAGATAATCCCGGTGTTGTGTTCGAGTATACTGTTCCAAAGGACAATGTCACTGAGCCAAGAAAGCCGGAGTTTCACTGGCACCACCAACCGTGGACACACTGCACCTCGTCTTGTGGAGGAGGTGCGTATTGCCTTTATAACCTTAAATGTTGTTTATAATATGTTTTAAAAAAACATATCGGCACGTTTCAGAAGATCAATATGCTTGTCTTGGATATTTTCTTCATTTTTGTTTTAAAAAATCGTCGGAGGGTTTTTAGTTACTTATATGTGTGTGTTGTTTTGCTTTTATGAACAGTAGTGTTTTGTGATTTAAATCGGGTGTGACATACATGTTTAAAACCGATCTTTTTCCAAAATCTTATTCGAATCTTATTCATCTAAATCTAATTATTATTAATTTTATTTTTAACCCCCTTTAAAAATAATGTGTTAACAATAGGAGATTTTTACACAATAACTCGTAATCTTCACATGTATTAGTCAAGTTTAAAATATCAAAAGAATTAGAGAAGAATTCAAAGATTGTTCATAGTGCGAATTTCACATCATTGTCATTACAAAATATGCAAAGTTTTAACACAGATGTTCAAAACTTGTAACGTGAATAATTTCCTTTACATATATCAATAGTAAAATCAAAGATGCACCTTTGATGATATACGTGATCTTACAGATTTAATCCTTAAAATGCACCGCCCCTATTACAGATTTATCTGGATTAGCATACTTACGTCATACAATTCAGATTGAGTACAGTACGAACATACTCAAGAATGAGTCAGAAACATATGGGAAATATCTTTGTGGTTTAAGGGATATGATTCATGCTTAACCTTCGTTAACGTTCGGCAAATGTTCGACTCTTTTAACAACTAATACCTATAAGGACAATATTTTCTGTAGACCCTGGTCAAGTAACCGCTTACTCGAATTCTAAACCGCTTATTCAATCTTAAGGCGTCAACAGACGGTAGGATTATGTTGTACAGCACTAATTAGAGATAAGAGTACAATTGTCAAAGCAATACAACACATGCATTCAGACAGTAGTTCTGCATTGTAGGAATCATCTGAGGTTTCCCTAAAAACTAAAAAAGTTCCCTCCCAATTGATCCCTTACATACTTTACTCACTAAATATTTTTTTTTCTCCATAATAATGATTGAAACACCTCCATTTGTTTTAAAAAAAAATAATTTAATTTAATTTTTTTTAATGTGCAACCTGGCCGAGACTCAAACCTGGGACCCTCGGAATACCATACTGTGGTTCTACTGACTGAGATATCCGGCCAACTACAAAATACCTCCCCTGATTAGAGAACAGTTCAATACCGTGACATAATCATTTTCGGGACAATTTGGGATTCGAACATACCACAACTTTGGGCCCTTGAAGAGTTTTTCAACATCATTTTTACACCCATCTTACTACTATGTATACCTTTTAGCCCTAATTGTTCTGGAATTTCATTCATTACACCCATTATCAGGAGATAATTTGGTAATCTGTTACTTGTCATTGCGGGAGGTCTGTAGAAATCTGTACGACAAGATTTTCAAAATAGAACATGTCCTATCCTTTACATCTAGACTTTAGGTTTCCGAAATCAAGAAATAGTAACCTTCACACATTAAGATTTGCTTGTTGTACATCTTAGTTTTAATTGGTGTTGTACTTCAAAATCCTACCGTCTGTTGAGGCCTTAAGACAAACCGCTTAAGGCACTCAATCATTACTCATGGCGAAAAAAGTATTTAGTGAGTAAAGTATGTAAAGGATGAATGTAAAGGGATCCTTTTTAGGGAAACCTCAGATGATTCCTACAGTGAAGAATTACCGTCTGAATGCAAGTGCTGTATAGCTTTGAAAATTGTACATCTTATCTCTAATTAGTGCTGTACAACTAAATCCTACCGTCTGTTGAGGCCTTTAGTCAATCTTAGAAAGATCATAGAAAAAGCGAAATGTACTTCATATTGCCGAACTTGTAAGCTAGTTTTTCCTACATAATACTAGTAATACATACATACAGTCTAATCAGCGTAAAATTACTTAAAAGTAAAATATTCAATGTAGATTTGTAAATTTCATTTTTTAAGACCTTTTATAATCATAGTAAAACGTCGAGTTTGCTTTCTCTTTTTATTTAATATCCATCGCCATAGTCAGCTTTATTAAAGTGTTTTGTGTTCGGAACAGGTAAAAACAAAAAATGATTTAGGTAATTCAAATAAAAAAAAAGATATTTTTTCAATAAATAATCACATATTTTATTAAGAAATAAATATTTTATTTCTGCAGGAAGTCAGAGATCAGAAGTATTTTGTGTAGAATTGGAGGCAGGTGTTGTAGACGATAAATATTGTAATGTTTCAACCAAACCAGACGATATACAGAGAGTGTGTAACGAACATTTATGTCCAGCCAGGTAGATATAATCATCTTAATATTACCTCTTATATGTCCTGCCAGGTAAATATAATCATCTTAATATTACCTCTAATATGTCCTGCCAGGTAGATATAGTCATCTAAAAGTTCCTCTTATCATAGCTATCCGACATATCATGATAGGCTCACGGTTCATTGTTAAAGGGGAGTAAGTAAGGGAGAGTGTTTAAGAAGTTGTTAGATTATTTACCTCCCTTACAATGTTTTACAACCATGCAGGTATGCAAAATATAAGGTTCTATAATGTAATGATATGATTATTAGTTACTTTTGTTGTATAACATTTGAGATTTAACTGACCAGGATTGACTTATCATAATTTTATTCCTACACACATAAATGACAGAATGCTGAATCCAACGACATTGTACACGCTTTTAAATAAATAAAAACACAGAAAAAAAAAGAATTAGAAATATAAGCAAAAACTATTCTACTTACGTATAATTGTAGATGGTGGTCAGGTCCCTGGCAACACTGCTCTGTAACTTGTGGTAACAATGGTGTACATCACCGTACGGTAATTTGTGTACGAAGTCTGGGACCGGATGAACAAATAGCACTTGATGATGATGCTTGTGCAGCAGACGACAAGCCCGCCGAAACGGAGGCGTGTCACAGGAAAGATCCCTGTCCCGGAAATAGTACTTGGACTGTAGGCGAGTGGTCAAGCGTAAGTCAAAAATGTTTCAGATGTTAGTCAGTTCATAATTCCTATTTTGTTACTCCTTTTAAAAGTGAAATAATTATCTTTTTCGGGATTAGCATAGCAGTAAATTTATAAACTCATTAGTACTATAATGAAAGACAACTATTATGCATTATTACAGAAGAAAATATGCAATTAATGTGTATTACATTTTTTTATATAAAAAGGTCGTTTGAAATATAACCCTCGCTTAGCTAGATTCTTTGTAAGTATAAGCTAACAACAAAACAAAATTCTGCATGAAATGATAAAAAAACAAGAAGACAGTCGATATTTTATCACTGTTTTCATATTACTCACAAGGATTGTTCATACGTAAAAAGTAAATGTCTGATTTTAGTATTTTTAATGTTTCTACTTAAAGTTCTTACATAAAAATATTTTAGGGAATATCAAATTCTAATTTAGGCAACAAATAGTGACGATTAGTCTAAAGCACAATTTATTTATCTCCATTTAAATCAATATTCACCGCACAAAATGTTAAGAAAAAATACAAAGTAATTGCATCGTATATCATTGTAAATAGTTTTACATTATAGCCGAGGTAATTTAATTTCAGTGCAACGGAAATCCATGCGGCCAGAAATACAGGAAGGTACAGTGTAAGGATATAAACATTGGCTGTGAGAAGAATGCAATACCGTTATCTGAGATGCCATGTAGTGAACAGCCTTGTGGAGAATATGTTGCCTCTGAATGGACAACTGTATGTTTATTTGAAATTAGCTTGAATATATATAAAAACTTGTAGCACAGATTAAAAGGTATCAATCGTAATGAATGAAGATTTTCAAAATCTGTAGTTTAGCATTTAAAGCTTTCGTTACAAAATAAAATGGCATTTTTAAAATATACTGTTCTCTGTATGAAACGTTATATGCAATAGGCGTACATGATTTGTCATATATGCAAACGATATTGACGGCGTTTAACCAATAACTTAAAAAAGGTTTGATTTAATCTGTACGAAAAGGATTAACCGAATATAAAGATAAAATTTCATTGTCTTCTCTTATGCAGTGTACAAGAAGTTGCGGTGATGGTATACAGACAAGACAGGTTATATGTCAAGGTGCTGAATTTTGTGATAATTCCAAAAAACCTACATCTCAACAACTTTGCAACGTCATTCCATGTTCAGATCCTTCAACAACAACGACGTCACCTACAAGTACATTAAATGAAAACCACGAAAAGATAGTTACAGCAAACGAGAATGCAGAGATAGTTACAGATAGTTCTTTAAAATCAACAGAAAGTATACCAAATCAAAAGGAACATGGAGAAGAAATTATAGAAAATAAGGTTGTGCCTACCAGTACAGACAAGATAATCCCAATGCATGATTTAACATCTCAAAATTTAGAGTCAGAAGAACACCATGATTTTATTGAAACTGAAATGGAAACATCTCAAAACAATGATTTCATAAAATCAGATTTGGAAAGCCAAGAATCTAGTAAAGACAATATTGACAAAGATGATACTCAACATTCACACCAACATAGGCATCATCATGGAAATACTGAGGAAGAAACCGACATGTTCCCACAAAGTAATGATATACCAAATCCAAATCAAGAAACCCTTGTTAATTCTGTAGACAATCTAAAAAACAAAACAAGTGACAAGAACCTTGAAACCGAAACAGAAATTGATACAAAAGATACGGAAGAAAATGAATACTCAAGTTCAACAGTGGATGACTTTAACCCTGCAAAGGATATTTCAAAACTATCAAAACTGTCAAATAAAAAATACGAGTTACCGCCTTTGACCAATTTGGATAACTTACCACTGCTACCAAATAATAAAGAACTACCATCTCTTCCCAATATGAAAGATCTTCCTCCTTTACCAAATTTAGATGAATTACCACCAATAAATTCTGCAGAATTCGATAAATTACCAAAATTAAGTAATTTACCAAGCTTTGATAGTTTGCCACCACTTCCAGGAAAAGGACCGCTGCCAATTACGATGGATAAATCAACTTTAAATACAGATATTAATTTTGATTTACATGAAACAACTGATTTAGATAAAGGTAATATTATTCCCGAAGATATTAGTTTAAAAGGATCACAAACTATTGAAAATTTAGCGACAGAGGAAGATATTTCAGAGCTTCCAGGTGAAGACAATATTCAGAAGACCAATACTGTATACAATATTGGTAGTGAAAATCTAGCAAAAATAAACATGCCTAGTATTCCAGACGTTCATATCAATTTCACAGACACTAAGAACGAGAATCAGAACATCACATTAAGTGAAGGTGATTCATTAAGACTATCAAAGATGACTGACAACGGTCCATTCTTACCGAGAGTTATAAATACAAATCAAGCAACTCAATACAAATGGAACCCACTTGATTGGACCGAGGTATATTATTTACTGACTTGGCTTTTATTTTGCCCTTTGTGATTGAACCGAGTAATTCTTGTATATGATAAATGAATAATCCTTAAAATCAACAAAACAAATTATTTTATCTAAGGACATTGTTTCACTTTAAATGATATTTTTCACATTGCATTATGTCACCGATATCAATTTAGCTCATATGGCGTTAAAACAGGAAGATGATTTTGGCTAACCTGGGGTGGTACTAACTTCAAAGCAACACCTGAGGTCAGCACCATCTCACTGCTGGAGCTAAGAGATGCATAAATTCCAGTTTTTCGAACCCATTTATCACCTCTTATGATTACGCAGAGTTAAACGGTAGCCTCAACTATTTTCAAGGCAACCCCTCAGCCATAAGGGGCATAATGATGATGATGGCGATGATGTTATAATAATAGTAAAGATTATAACATAAATAATTAAATGAATAATAATGAGGTTAATGATCTTGATATTATTTTATGTTTGTTTTAGTGTTCACGACAATGTGGTGGAGGTATTAGAACACGGGTAGTTGAATGTATTAATTCTGAATCCAATGAAGATGTTGACCAAACTTTATGTGATATTAACACCAAACCAAATGCAATCGGAGATTGTAATAAAGACACCTGCCATGAATGGGAATCTTCAGAATGGTCACAGGTATATTTTTATGATTTTCTGCTCTCTTTGAACAAAGAGAATTGTTGAAAAGTTTCAAATTCTACCCTCAAGTACCATATTTGTGATTTTATTACTTTTTAACACATTGTAACTATGTACATGTATTATGTAATGGATCTTTCTTAATTTGCTGTCTCTGGTTATTTCTGAATGATAGAAATGAGCCGCGTCATGACAAAACCAACAGTATGGGTTTGCGACCAGCATGGATCGAGACCAGGATCCATGCTGTTCGCTATCAGTTTCTCTACTTGTTATAGGGTCGGTAAGCGAACAGCATGGATCCGGATCCGCGGATGCGCAGGCTGGTCTGGATCCATGCTGGTCGCAAACCCATTATGTTGGTTTTGTCATGAGGCGGCTCAAATGGTTTAATTCGACATTTATAAGCGTGTTATCGTTCCTGTGGGTTCTCTAACAAGTCTAAGGTGTAAAACTTTTAAATCACAAACATTATTTATAAATCATTATTTTATTACTATTGAAACCAGATTTCGACTCTTCATGAATATACACAGCATGTCGCATGATTAACTTATGATTATTTACAGACATATCATAATATCAACTAATGGCTTTTTAGCGACATCGCTTTCCGAACGACGATCACTATTAGTGAGAACGTTTTTATATAAGATTTAATCTGTCAATTTAAGTGTTCAGCGACTTGTGGCAAAAGCATCAGAACGCGTGTAGTGTCATGTCCACAAACTGGATCATGTGATCCCAAACATAAACCGGATGAGGAGGAGATGTGTGATGTACCAAAATGTGTTATCTGGGTGTCTGGGCAGTGGAGCAAGGTGTGTATATTTGTTATAACATCGATACAGATATACAGGTGGTCTGCCGGTACAGATTATAAATTCTGGCTTGAGTGTAACTGTTAAAGGCAGTTATGATACTCCATCGAGATGACACAAAATATAACACCTAGGGGGCCCGCCGCTGCGACAGCAGTTGGAGTTCATTATTAACATTACTTTTTGTTTCGTATCTAATAAAGATAGGAAAGATGAAATGGAATCTGGTTAATATAGCGTTATATTCTTATATAAGCGTATGGTTCGTAACGTTGTGACTTAAATAGGTTTGACGTCATTTTAATCACGTAACGTATCTTAGAAACCATGACATTTTCGTTGCAAACACTCGAAAATCCAGTTTTTTTGCTGATATAACTTAATACAATTACAGCTTATATTATGCACCTTTTCTATTTTATTTTATTTTTTATACATGTATTTCCATTGTATTAAACAGTGTACCAAGCAATGTGATACCGGTGAGCAATTTCGTCTCGTGCAGTGCGTGAACGTGACAAACCAACTTCCAAGTCATGGCTGTAGTTACCCGGAGAAACCAGAAGAAAAACAAGATTGTAATACAGATCCTTGTAAAAATGATAACGCCGGTACGTGTTAATTCAATTAAATATATATAATTATATATCGATAACAAAAACAGCTTATTAGGCTAAGTATATAGTTTTAGCTTTTAATAATTGTCAGCGTTATTTCAAGAGCTGTTTTTGTATTAAACTCTGTCTTTCATTACTTTAGTCTGGTCAGTTTAATTGATTACATGCCGAATTTTTAATGTACGGATAGACCTTTTTACTTGCAAGGATAATTATATTACCTGTTTACAATATTAATTATGTTTTTGTAGAATGAAATATAATTAATTTTCTTTTCTTTTCAGCCCTTTCACTGAGATGTGAATATAATGACTTTTCATATAGCTTATGTCGTGCATTGCGTAGAATGGGACAGTGTCATAAACGATTTATAGCGTTAAAATGTTGCAAAACATGCGGGATGGACTCACATAAACGTGCAAATAAAGACAGACCAAGAGGCCACTCATTGAGATAATATACAAACCAGAAATCGTTTACCAGTATTAACTTGTATGATATTCTAGATTTGAAGACAATATCCTATAAATTGAAACAGCGGAAGTTGTTATACTCGAGTTTGTAGTGTAAAGATATTCTTTCACACTTTTTGTATTAGGATATGTTTCGTTATAAAATGATTAATTTTGGATAGTGTATACTATCCACTGTTCAGAGGGATACCAATTTAAGTAACCCGAACTTCATGTAATATTGAGATGAGTGTGTTCAAATACTTTTGAACTAACGGAGAACGGTATTCAATTTGTAATTTGTATATCAATGTTTGACAAGTGTACAGTATAGTTGTTGAAGTTTTCATTTCATTCGTAGAACAATTATAATGTTCTGACAAGAATGTAAGTGAATAGCTTAGGTACAGTTTATATTTTGACACGTTGTATTGCAATTATGAATGTGTCAGGATTGATTATGAGTTTGAACAGTTATACTTGTACAGTATTGATATTTCTTTACCATAGAGTGAAGAACAAATATTTTGTTTCTCTGCTCCTTAAGTGTTCGGACAAAGTCTCAGCTGACCACGGTTTATAAGAGAGGGAGAGGTGGATATTGACGATGCCGTCTGGTTTTTTAACAGGGCTGAATAAATCCATGATTTTTTTAAAATGCGGGAACAATATACACCAGAACGGTTGTAATATAAGGTTATTTTATTAGAGGATCCGACATTGGCAATAGAGCTTGTATGTTCAAAATTTAAATAAATTTATAATGGAATATTAAAATTCTGAAGAGCAAGGTTTAGATAAAGAATCATTTGCTTTAATACGATGAATTAATACGATAATTGATCGTTGAAATAATTTTTGATTTTTGATATAAATGGAATCATTTCTTTTCACCCAAAGTGTCTCAATTACTGTGCAAGACATTTGCAATATTTATTCTTTTTTATATTCTTATGTTTAAACGTGAATTCAACTATTTGTTTTAGTGCTGCTTCAAAACAATGACAATAACAAACAATAACCTGTTTGAAAGCTTGAGAAACAGGTGCATGTATAATTAAACGCATCTTATATAACGTCATCTGATAATTGTTTTTCCCTTGAATTAATGAAAAACATTTTTCTTTTTTGTCTTTTTTAGAGTATTAACATGAAGAAAGTCAACAAAACTATAATAAGCAAGTAATCGTAATTTGATTTTTTCCCCGACGATTAAGATGATTCATGAAACAGCCAGGGTTGGGGGCGGCGGGGCCAGGGTTGGGTATTTCAAATCAGTGCTATGTAACTAATTTATGTGTGTTTATAAGGACTTATCGAGGTATTCATATGATATTACTTGTCATTATTAGACAATGTTTGTTCATGTTTTATCATATCTCATCATGGTGTATAATGTTTTGTCATGTTTTATAATTTAGACATGATAGAGAACAACATCATATTTCAGTTATAACAATATAAGATATAAGTATAATATTATATAATTAGAGATCCTCCTTATATCTATATTTTACATAGAAAGTATAACATATATACAATAAATTGTCAACAATGCCTTATTTCCATAAAAGTAACAAAAAAGCAGATGGTCCTGTACAATAACTAAATATTTTCATATTTTCAGTGTAATGTTTTAATAATACAAGCCTATACCAGAATTAAATAAAAGATGTCTTTTCATTTTTTTTTTCATAAAAATGTTCATGTGAACCACATTTATATAGTTACCATTTGCAAAAAAGCCTATGAGTTATGTAATATCTATTATTCCAATAAACCGTTGACCAAACTAAATATTCATAAGATATACTGTTCATGTATTTTAAATGATCATTGTGCTAATGATTTATATATGTAATCATGTTTTTAATTTTATCATTTGATATACTTTATAATTTGTCATTTTTGTTATAAAATTATGCGACAACATACAATTAAAAATGTCAAAAATGAGTTTTATGTTATATGATTTTCTTTACCCTACACCCTTTAAATTCACTATGTTTACAGAACTTATCATGGAAACACATTTATTTTTATCGACACAAATACGACAATAGTTTTTGTGCATCAACGACCTATTTTCAATACTGTTTGATTTTTGTCTGTGCGTATAAAAACATTTTGGTACTAACACTGTATAAACACATATTCAACAGAAAAAAGGAGAGAAAAAAAAAACAACGTAAAAGCGCAGTCAGAGAAAAACAACAACAATGCTACTGAATTTTAATTATATGATTTGAAAAAACACTTTTATTTTCTTACAAATTTATAGTAGATTAAAACACAACTGTACACAACCGGAAACCAAAGAATGATGTTTCACAGAACTGTAGATAAGGTAGAGAAGAATAGTCCTACTTTTAACAGTTGCACATTTATCACTTTTGAGATGATTGTTAATTTATATCAAGCTAAATGTTGATTTATGTCAATGTCTGGCATGTTCAAATAAATTGTCCTGAATGTTATTGCCTAGGTCCAAATACGAACCTCGAAACAATGAGGACACTGTAAAATGTAAATTAATATTTAAATATAACAACTTAATATTTCAGTCGTTAAGGCACCAAATCTATTATTATCAATCATTCACTGTCCTATGCACATGCATACTGTATGACAAAATTGAATGATTCTATATATTGTATTTCATAGATGAAATGATTTGTATTGGGAGGTCAGATTTAAACTGTTTGATAAATTTTCACATTTAATTTGACTAGAACGTTGCTGATGAAAGAATCTCGATATGGTAAAACAGTCTAGCAGCTTCAGTTTGTAAAAAAACCCACACTATGGCACACATTTCTTACACTTGCACTCGACTGAGAATATCACACTATCACATTTTCACTTGTAGATATATAGGTCATTTTCTGAGACAGAGAATAAAAAAGTAAACTATCTAACATTATCTATCTACATGTAATAAGTAACGTGAAACAGATATTAACAGAGACATTCCTGCAAATATTCAGCAGAGTAAAACAAACTGATTGCAATTTTGAACCCACGACACAAGCACTTAGCACTTAGTTATCTTTGCCTGAATTGCATGAGGGAATTGCAACGAGAAATGTAAAATCACTTATAGATATATCCTTCAAAATCCTTCATCTTTCCAGATGAACATGTTTTTTTATCATCGATAAGGGTATTTTCCCTTAAAATAAAGTAAATTGTATCCCACGTTAGTTCAACCTCAACATTTAACCTTTAGATTTACTGTTCATGCTTGTTATCTTAAAATAAGAAACGGTATACGTGACGTTACTTATTTATTTGCTACATCATGCTTCTACATGTCTGTTATCATCGATAGGAGCATTTTCCCTTATTAATATAAAGTCCGTTGTATTTCATGTTTGTTCAACCTTAACATTTAATCTTTAGACAAGAAACATTATACGTGACGTTTTTCATTCATTTGCTACTTATAATTTATCTTGATTGTAAATTTGCCTGCATTTTATTCCGCTTCTAGGGGAATGTCTGTTGTAGAAATTTTCAAAAGTATGAATAATGAAGTGATTATCTGGAACATGAAGAATAAAACCATGAAAATTCTGTCCACAACTTGGGCCAGTTTCTTCCAATCTTCCATGGTATCTTCCAGCTCCCGCTTCTCATCAATGTGTTCTTTGATACTGTGTAGACAGTCCAGTTGCTGTTTCAATATTCTAACCATGTCGTTTGAAGTGTCGTAATCAAACTCCGGCGGTAAATTTACAGGTTTGCCCGTCGTATCATTCAGGTCATTCAGTATTTTATTAATGTTGTTTTCATGATTAGACATGTCGGACCGGAAGTCTTCAGGATGAACGTTGAAGCCAGCGTTGTCATGGGTTTCGTGAAATCTCTGTTAATATAAAGATTACATGAGATTATAATTATGCACGAGTGTTCATGAAATCCGTTCACTCTGTTCGTATTTGAAATATGTATTTAAACAAGTGTATGGGTTATAAATATGACTGACTGTACGTTATAACAAGAACTGTCGGAGGACAGTAACACTCGACTATTCGAAGTTGTCACAAGGGTGTTTCATTGAGTATAATAATGCTTACCTATATGAATAAATAAAATTGTCCGAAAAGGTACAAAGGCTTGTTATTAAGATGTTTTATCGAGTTAATTATCGCTTTATTATTATGAATGCATAAAATTGCTCCAAAAAAGACACAAACCCTTCAGAAGTTTTGGAGATACCAGCTTACAAGCAAAAACTTTACCTAGAATTTCTAAGCCGAAAAAGGCGCATAATTATGCAAAAACACAAATCAGAGTTATGGGACTTGTGCCAATCATGTAAGATAATCACAGAGAACAGGTGTGTGAAGTTTCAATCCATTCCCTTCAGTAGTTATGGAGATACCAGCTCACACCGAAAATTTAACCAAGAATTTCTAAGTCGAAAAAGGGGCATAACAAGTGTTCCCGTCAGTAGTTATGGAGATACCAGTTTACACGCAAAAACTTAACCACAGGGACGCCGACGCCGACAAATGGGAGACTGCATTAGCTCGATTATTCTGCGAAAACAACATTAGATAAAGCGATAGAAATAGGCAAATTGGCAAGTTGATCATACAATGGACGAAACATTTCATGTTCTGGCTCTAAGTTTATTCAGTATTTTTGGCTGATGTTATTATAACGCATAAATAAGCATTTTATAGGTCCTGCTTAAACTATTATTTCAACAAAAAGGATACCTCAACGTTATTACGAACGTCTGGTACAACCCTGTTATCTTTCTCCGAAACCTTTACGTGGAGAAGGCGCCCAAAACCATGCAAGAACACTTTCCGGACCCAGATAGGCATTTTCTTCCCGAAATTTCCTTTGAAATGCAGGTTAAGGACAGTAACTGTCATCAGGCACGACATTGACACCAACAACATAGCACAAGCGAAATAAACACCTGAAAGATAGATTTTATAATGTTAGTACAACAGTAGATTTTCTCTTTTTCATTTGGAGGTATGCTACTTGAAAGCTTTTATAATTCATTTTGAGACATTTATCTACATGTATATTAATTTCAACTACAACATGCGCGCTATTTGTATCGTACAATATCGTGAATTTTACACTGAAATGTAAAACAATCTTATCACCTGGCTTTAAACGAAAAAATGACTTTTAATCCGAAAAGCAATTACGTTCAATATATGCAACATGTGTTCTTTGCCCGCTGAAATTGATTACATAAAGTAGGCTATATGTTTGTAACATCGTAAAGTAAAAAAATGTTTACCAATATAAGGGAAGGTTTCGGAATCTGGAGGCATTGTTTCAGATACCACTAGCAAGAAGACCGCCAATGACAGCAGCACTGTAATCTCTAGAGAAATTTTCTCCCCGGAATCTGGTGGTAACAGAAACCCAAGGAAGGCAACTGTTGAAATCAGGGTGCACGGGAAAATTAGGTTTAACAAATAGAATAATGGTTTCCTTTGAATCTGAATGTAGAATGTAACATCCGGGTACGGCTGTGAACAGCAGGCGTAATATATCTCGTGACGAATAGACGGCAGTCCTGAAACAGGCAAACATACAGGTCAACTAAGGTTCAATTTGTACGATTCGTTTTAAAAGTATGTGCGTAACAATTATAATTTATCTAAAGTACGTTCAGTTAACAAATATAATGGTAGCGTGCAGACTTTGCTCGACAAATCCATGTTTATTACATCAAATATTCTCACAAAATAAAAACATGATCATACATAATCAAAAGAATGTCTATCATTTCTTTAACAACAACCGAGCCCTGTTTATGCATCAATTTACTTTTTACAGTTTTACATTTTTCATGTTTCATTACATGCAGTCCACAATTCATACATAAATGTTACATTAATAAGTATTTCATATAGTTTCTAACGGAGGGCTTAAACATAAAGCGAGGTTGGGAAATAAATGAGAAAGAAAGGTAAAAAAAAAAAGGTATTTTGATATTTGCAAATCATTAAGAGGATCATTTTGAAAGTCTATGTACATTTCTGCAAATACTCTGTTTAACAAGTTACGCACACAATTATTTGGTATAAGATTGTTTTGTTTCATGTCTATTATTTATAACAAGTGTAAACATTCAATCTAATAACTTTATTTGAGCCGCGTCACGACAAAACCAACGTAATGCAATCTGATCAGGATCCATGCTGTTCGCTTACAAACCCTATTACAAGTAGATAAACTGATAGCGAACAGCATGGATCCTGGTCAGACTGCGCGGAAGCGCAGGCTGGTCTGAATCCATGCTGGTCGCAAACGCACTATGTTGGTTTTGTCATGACGCGGCTCATTTTCCCACTCACCAATTATTTCCCATTCTCCATTAGCTACAAACATGGAGATATCACCGGCTGATACCCTTTCTGAAACATTTACGTCATAACCATGGGACGACCAGGACCCAAACTTCATTTGACCTAAGTAAAGAATATGTACACACACTGTTATATGATTCAGTCACAATGTTTAGTTTTTCATAAACTGAAAAATTCATCGTTGTAGTATATTTTAAAATGTTGTTCTTCGATTCATGCTTGAGCATATAAAAAAATTGACATGTATTGAGCAGACGCAGTAAAGTCACACATGATTAAAGTTAAACAAAGCAATATGTCTCTAATCTTTATGAAGAAAAAACAATATTTTTTATAGTCTGGTGTTGGGAAGGGTCCACCCTCTAGTGATGTGGTCTGACACTGTTGCTTTTTATACATAGCTACAATTTATGTGTTAATATTGAAATAATATTACTATATTAATTGTCATATTTGAAATTGTATCACTGTTATGGGTTCGAATCCTGCCAGAGACTTTAAATACCTGCATGTGAGGAAGCTATCAAGCTAGCTTATGGACCGCCGGCGGTATACTAAGGTGCCTGCTTGTGTCTGAAATAATTCAATGAGTGGTACTTGGGGTCTTAAAATTTAAAAGTCGTCGCATAGCCATTACAGTGTCGGTTTTAAATTTGCAAAGACAAAGGAAAAGCAAAAAGTAGCATTAAATTAAACTAAATTAAGTCTGATGTTTCAGACAAAAAACTGAACTTTCTTCAATAGTTTTCATCTACAAAAGACATACAACAAGTTTTACTCATGTTCATAAAATCAAATTTTATTATCTCGAAACTGTACCAGACGAATAGAAGACCGGATACTCACATTGTTGAACGTCAAAAGGGAAGTATGTTACGTCAACTTTACACAGACTCTTAATGACGCTTGGAAAATTGTAATATACGGACCCGTCTGGATAAACGTCTGGTCGAAAATCAGTCAACCCGCCTAACTCGTTCTGTGCGCTGTAAAAGAAAAAGTTCCACTGTAACATACTTATAACCAAATGTTTTATTGTGAATATTTTTGGCAATGGTTTGATTACCGTCGTATAAATGATTTCTTTATACCAGTTTTATGTATAATCTAATTGACGGAGGACCAAATTTAGTATGTTTACTCATTTTTGTTAGTTATGTGTTAGAGAAGAGGAAAATCCCTAAAACACGCAACTTCCAAACATTCACTACCTCATTTATGTTTACAAGTTTAGACTCAGTTGCGCGTATGTGACCCATTGCTAAAGGCAACTGTTAGGCAACGTTTTCTTAGGCTCTCAAATGAGGCTTAAGAGGTCTCAGCGATTCTTATACCAACATGGCATAAAGTATGCTTCTAGGTTGCACTTGGTGACCAATTAAGGTCGGATGATCAAAGTAGTCAGTCAAGACGTAAAATATTTCCATCATGAAACATTTCCCCACGTCTTCTTTCCAGGCTCTCGCATGTATGTTAGTAAAACCTAAACACTTCAGTGACGAGAACATGTCTCCAGTTTCAGTTATTTTTTATGGTCCACCTAACACTCTGCCTTGCTCTGTCCAAACGGGCCTGGCGGTCACGATAAGTCAATACAATTCTGGAATTCTTCCACGCACCGTCTTAGTACAAACATTGGCCCAGAAGCATTAGGGCAGTCAATACGAAGATGCGATGCTCTAACAAACCGTCCTCGACGGGCAATCAAGAATCGGTCTTTAACTGCAGTCGACACCATTTGTCTGCTTCCGCCATGTCTCCTGATGGGTGTACCATACTTCTGGTACATTTTCCAGGTTCTGGTAATAATGATGTTATGTACACCAAGGTGTAAAAAGACAATAATATGTATCTGATTCCACTAACACCTGGCATTCTATATTGGACGAGGATTTTCAGCTGTGTATAACTCCAAAAGAAAGAGTTTTGTACTTGACAATGCATGATGACCTCTGTATTTTACATCAACATCTTTTGGACATTTTCACAGTAATTTGAATTGGATATCTGGACTTTGATAATAAAAACGAGGCTAGATGGGGTACGCTATGCTTTTGATAAACATATTTTGGACTATGAAACTTATAATAATTTCCATTGAAGCACCACGTGGTTCAAACGCTGAAGGTTCATTTGTATCATTTCATAAGGTGTGAATTAACTGTATATATTAAAGTATCAAAGCTTTGTACAGATCGAATTTGGTTCAGCTATTATGGTGTGTCATTACCTAACTTAAGATTAGCAAAGACTTACTTGTCATAAAGTGTTATGTCAGGAACCCAGATATTTTTGAATGGTACCACCATGTTGCTGATTCCTGTTTCCGTCTCGTTCCATTGTAAGTTACAATCATTCCATATCTGTTAAAATGGTTAAAATGGTAAGTTAAAGATGTGAATTGTTATTGAAAGTCAGTAATAATGGCTTTATATACAGATGTTTTTAGAGACAAAAAAAAATTAAAGTGAATTGATCTAAAATAGAAGGTCTGTTATATAATACTTGATTACGTTGAAAGTATTAAGTACAACACATGGATAATGTTGGCAAGTGTGAGAAATATGATCTAATATTGCATGTATTTATATAGCAGATAATAATTTGTCGTTTTAAAATATTATTATTCATCATAAAAATGTCAATAGCAAACACTAAGAACTTTATCAACATTTTTATATCAAGCAATATTTCATAAAATATCTAACATTTCTATAATTTTTACTAATATTTAATATAGAAAAGGTTAGGGTCTTGTTAACTATAGTGTCACCCAGCCATTTCTTACTTATGAGACACCTTTTGCTTTCATACCATGTGCCTCCCAACTCCTACCACTATGCCAGGCGCCAGGCGGTAATCATTCATTTTAACTACCTCGAGGCTCACGAGACGGCCATTTCGGAACGAATCCCACGAGAAACATTCAACCTTCAATTAACGATCCCCATGAGGCTCGAACCTTACACCTCCCGATCCGAAAGCGGACGCCATAACCACTTGGCAAACAGTACCGGTAAGCAATATACTTATTAAAAATGCGCACCTTGTAGACCAATCGACTTTAATAGCAATAAAATTTGTAATGCAACATGACCAAACAACATGTTTTTTAATCAATAAGTTAAATGTTAAAAGGAATATTTGTATGCAGTCCTACAAATAACAGACTTACAACAAATGTTCGAAGCATTAGGGAATGACATTTTAGTCTTCAAATCACAATCATTTATAAAAATGCAAAGTTCATCTATTTGTTCAAAACCAATAAGACATTAGTGCCAGTGGATGAATAACAAGTAAGCCCTTCACTTTAGTTTTAAATGTATATTAGCTGCAATGGAAGATTATATAGCCGCACGCTAACTATATAACATTATTACGTGTCGCAAAGGTACAACTACCACCAAAATTATGCTTTCCTTTCATTAAATAGTACTTTTCAAATTGTGATTTTGTAGAGAAAAATGAGACAATTTGGTGGAACTATGACCAAATCAATGTTATAATAAACAGAACGAAAGTTTCCATGAAATGTGCTTTCTCCTGTTCATCTATAAATTCGTACTGGTGTTGCCCTGTTATAATGTCAAAGATGTCAAATAGCATATGATTTAGTCTCATGACGATTCTATCAATGGATATAACATGCCAGTTTAGGATGTCATTGATAGTCAAGTTTTTCATTACAACCTATCCTTTGTTCATTTAACGGACATGTTTAATCAAAGAACGACATGTGATAAAATGTAAACATGGTTTTTTGTACTATTAATAAAAGAATCGACATTTTTAATTATTTTCTACAAACAAAATATTTAGATAACTATAGAAATATGACTCATTATTGACAGTTTTATTGAACAAAGGTTTTGTATAAATAAATTATTAAACTAATGACCTGGCATAGTGTAATAATGGGGCTAACAAAGTACTAAATGCATCTAAATATTGCAGTGCAAATAACTTAAGCGAAATCTTATCACCACCAGCCAGTATTTACTAAAGGAATCATAGCTACCATTAACGCAACCAATGGATCTATACCGAACCTTATTCCCTCAACTTTATCCTTTGTACCAAAACAATCAACAATAAACATTACACGTGTAGAAATTACTTTATGACACATAATTCGACGGCATTTAATGACACGTCCATACGTGTTATAAAAACATTAAAGGTTTTATTGTCCAACAAAACACATGGACAATAATATTATACATTGCAATTTCGTTGGAATGAAGTATTTGACATCTTAAACAGAAACGCAAAAAGAGTAACGACTTTTTATGTTAGATATAAGTTTCATGTGCTCAGCGTTTTGTTTTGAAGTAGTATAATCCCTTAACATTAATAAATGTAAGGCACTATTTGAGCTGTAACCTCTGTTTTATTGAATGTATTTATGATCTAAACCGCCACACTGAGTAATGTCCGAGAAAGCCTTTATATTACAAGTTGACATATCACCCGTACTGCCACTTTCCGACCAGCTAACAGATGTTCCGGCAAACACTGCATGACAGTGAAATTATTAAAAATCATTTTCCCCTGACAATTCTACAAATATCATCATTTCAGCTATTTATTATATGCATAAACTTTTTTTTTTAATTTACGTTAATTATAAATATGTATCATAGTCAAACCATTACTTTCATACTGCCACTTATCAATCAGTTATCATAAACATATGCTGTACCACATAAAAATGTCATAAAAAGTTAAAATAGAACCACCTGTTTCTTTGAAGAAATGTTGAATAACTTAAATTCAGATGAAAGGTAATAAACAATTTTAACCAAAGTATAAGGCAATTTTTCAATTTTGATACATATTTGCAGTAGTAAAGTTGTTACAATGGGAGCAAAGATGTACATCTCAATTTTCATTACAAAAAACAACAATTTCTTGTGAGAGTTTTAGGGTCTTAGAGTCTAAATGTCCCCAACTTGTGACAGCACACTGAAAATTGTCAGAGAGTATGTTATTCTATGGTTAAGTTACTGTAACCTAACTGGCGTATTAAGTTCCAATTAAGAACCCTACAGTAAAATGTGTGCATATCAATACCGTTACTTTTGTTGTGTGGTATACGTAATTTACTTCATGATAGTGAAACAGTGGCCCAACATTATATCTTTTTTCTACAGACTGACAAAAAACAGAGTCTGTAAATCAAATATTTGTAGAAAACTATTACGATTTGTAACAGGAAAAATTAAGGATTAGTGGAAAACGTAAATCTTACATATTTTGGACACAAATATTGGTATTTTGCTTTTTTATCACCATATTTGACATTGTTGCTAATATACATTGTATGTAGTCAAAGTGAGCATTAGATATGCTTACAATTCGGCAACATGACAAATAAGGTCAAAAGTAAAACATTCCTTGGGATAATTGAAAATGGTTGTGATTGAAAACTGGCAGTTTGGGTCTCTATAAACAGTTGTTTGCATATTTAGACCGAGCAGCTAGGCGATGTTAAATTGCAAACGACCGTTTATATGATTAATTGTAAAGACATTTGACAGGTTATATGACCTTATATAAACGGTTGTTCCGAGCCAAGAGTCTTAACGATTTTATCTATTAGAAAAGAAAATTGAAATTACGTCATAAATTCACAACATGTGTATATATAGTTTATATAAACGTAACGATTATCCAATGGTTAGCGAGGTTACAAATTGTATGAAGTAAGTGAGTTATATCATTAAACCTTTTCATCAAATGTCAATAGAAATGCCATTTAATAAACATAAATGCATATAAAGCTGTTTACAAATTACCGTTGTCATTATTGTAAGTAATGTTAACTTGGAAAATTATTATTTAATCACAAAGGCAGCAATTCATTTCTACATCTTAAACTCGTATCTAGCGGTTGAATTCCGTCATTCAGGAGTGCTGAGTGACGTATTAAAGTGTGTACAAATAAAATGGTGATAAAATAACATTCAATATGAATTTTAACAAACACTACGTGTCCAATTGTACGGAAGCCTTGCAGTATCATTTATTAATTAAAACTTGGTATTTATTAATTACAATTTATAAGTAATAACTTATTCATAAATATTTATTACTTAGCACTTGAAATAAGTGGGAAGAAGAGGGACATTATAGAAGCAGACAACCTTAGTTATTATAAACAGGTTAGCATTATAAGTAAAGAGCAAAGTGTTTAGTAATGTGATATTGTTAATAGGTCTTATGCAAGGGCTTTTATAATAATCTGTATTCAGGGCAAACAACGAAACTTGCAATATTGTATTACTACGTCATGGGTATTGTGCGACCTCTGTTTGTCATTATTATAGTGGCACGTAACCTGAAAAGATAAAAAAAGTTGCTGCCCTTCATCCGGCATTTACTTGCAAATCTGCAAATACTTTTTTACCATATCATACATTATGGACAGATTGAATTTGATTTTAAGATTATAGCCTAGATATTCTGTATTTAGTACGTCTTATGGGCTTTTATAAAGATTGTTCAAATTGTGCCTCTGGGTCAAAATTGACCAAACCCAAAGGATTTCCTATTCTAAGTATATATTCGTATATAGACTATATATGGAAAACTTTGTGTTAAGGATCATGTTATGGTTGTCAATGAAAATGTTCAAACAGTGTGTCTGGGGTCAAAATTGGCCCCACCCAATGGTCTCATATTTTATATAAACTTATTTAAGGAAAAGTTGAAAAAAATCTTCTCTGAATCCAAAAGGGCTAGAGCTTTGATATTTAGCATGAAGCATCATCGTTTAAATCACACTACCGAGTTTATTTAGCTGAGAGTATCAGGGCCATTATGGCCCTTTTGTTAAAGTGATCAGTATATTGAATGTTAATTTGAAGTATTTCACATTTATTTATAAATCTTGCTTTGTTTCAGTTAAAGCTTAAAAAATTATCTAGTAAGAAACCTCTTTGTCACACCAATTAAGTTAAGACCAATCATTGTACTATTTATCAACAATTCATGATTTTTGAAAATATAGACCTTACAGAATAGTCCCAGAGCCTTTGTGTCAAAAAGGTTTGTTAAGGATCTTTATTTTCCATGATTTCAGACAGAGGCTGTGGATACAGAGGAAATAGATTTGGCCCATGCCATACAGTATATAACCAAATTTGAAATATCCATTTTTTAGAAAAAATCAACATATATTTTTAGGGACAATTATGTGATGAAAAAAATTGTAAAGGATTAAACTTCGTTTGAATATATATGAAATAGTTGTTGATGTACTGCCCCTGATTAGAAACCTTCCATTCTGATGAACCATTCTGAATTACTCATTCAGGCCGCACGAAAACTAGTGCTTTCACACTAGCACATAGTCAGTGACAAGTTTTATTTTAAAGTAATTAAAATAGTGATTGATAACTTTTTATCATAAAGTAATAAAACATAGATTTTAAAAAATTAATAATAAATAATAAAAAAATGAATCATAAATTATAAATAATATATAATATATATTAAGTTATAAATAAAAGTTAATGCCAATATATTATATGTGTGTCACTTTTTCATGTGAAACAAAGTTGGCCTTTCTTTGCTTTTTATTTTGAACTCGTCTCATCTTTAATACACCAACTTCTGATTTCAGGGAAACACCATACAAGCGTATAGTACCAGACGTTGACGTGGGAGAGGTCGACGATCAGACTTCAAAGTTAAGTTTGGATGACAGCATTACAGAAATAATGCATATAGAGTAGTTACAAATGCAAAGGTCGGTGAAACTTGAACAATATTATGCAAAGCTGACCAAAACATAACTGTCAATGATATTGTTGAGAAAGGAAAAAAGATGTTTTTCAAGAAAAGTTACAGTTGCTTTGGCCACATAATATGTCAATTTGTTTGATAGATCGACGTGGAGAATAAACAATGAATTCACTGATTTGAATGGATCCAAATGTTCCTATGCAGAATATGTAAATACACAAGAAATGTTTGGGGTGGAAGCATAATCAGAATATGTGAAGAATTCATTTTTAATTTTTAAACCAAAGTGTTAAAGCTACTTCTGTTGTGTTTGAAAAAATAAATGCATTGATCAGTTAAATATTTCCCATGATTACTTCTGCAATATGTATATAGAGCAAAAGTTCCAAAATATTCAGTCGTGTTGCTCAAAAAGTACTTTTGTTAGAGTCAGAACACTTCACAGGAATGTTGATTAACATTTTTAGATGTGCATGTGGGATGTCGTATGTGGATTAATTCAAGGCTTTTAGAGTTATTGCTCCTGACTTATAATTATAAATAATTGAAATATTCAATTGTCATAAGTGTGAGGGGCATGCTGTGTCCTTTGGATACATTTCTTGTTGGAATATTGTTTGTGTTTATCAGTATCTTTGAGTTTAACATTTAGAAAGATTTGATGTATCATTTTATCTTGACTATTTGAGAAAAGCTGATTTCTCAGTTAAGCTTGACTATTAATTGAAATTAGCTGAAGCTTTTACATTCAATGATCACATATGCTTGTTTTGTTTAGAATTAAGGTAATATGTTTTTTACTGCTTTCCATTAGCAACTCATTTGTGAAACTTTTCACAGCTTTATGAATAATACGCGTGTAGGTATATCAGCCAAGTTGTATAACTCTGACATGCAATTTCATTAAATAATGCCAATTTTCTTCTTTAGTTTTTACAAAACTAAGTCGCCACTTAATTATTGTGACAGTTCTAGTTTTTGTATTTCTCATTCCTATAATTCTATGTTTATTACTACCTTTATGGTGTTTACACAATTAGCAGTAAAGTATTGCAGTCAGGTTTTTTTCGTCCCTTGTAAACAGGAACCCTTTTTAACTTAAAAGCTATTTGTATAGTTTGATAAGGTTTGATTAATGAAAAAGTGTCAATGTTAGAAAGATAAAAAGCTAAACACTAAATCCGTCTTTCTTCCACTTGACTTTTTGGGAACGGTACACACAGTTTTTTTACCCGATTCAGGTATGTTTTTATGAATCACTCTTCTATTGCTTAATCGATGTTGATTAGATAAGGTGTAGAGTACTCGTAGTTATTTATGTATAGGCTACCCACTGTAAATCAAAATTCTTAAAACCCCTGAATTGTTTTTAGAACATTCGAGTACGTTTTATTTCATAGCTGGGGCTGAGGGGAACGATACGCACTCATTTATCACATGCGACTTCTAGTAAGTCGTCAGCTCTTTTTCACTGCTTCGTAGAAAAAAGAAAGCTAAATTCTTATAGATTTACTAAGTCCTATATATCTAGTGAATGCAGTAATGTTTAGCATATTTTCATAAAGTTATGTTTTAATGGTACGGAATACACTGTTATTTTAAAGGATACGGTACACACAAATTTTCTGTCATTTTGAATAAATCTGAAAAAAATAATGATATGAAAATTTGCTTTAACTGATAATGTGGGTGTTTGACCTTAACGTTTAACATTAGTGCAGTGTTGCTTTAGCATTATTTTATCAAGTTGAAATGCTACAGAACACAGCGCTTTTAAAAGGGGTAGGGAACACATATACACGGAGCACATTCTTACTAGGAAAACTGGAAAGTCGCCATATGACCATGACAGTTTTGGTAATACGTGAAACCTTACCAAATATGACCTACATTACCTGAATTAAAAGTTATTGATGTTTTAAAACAATATTTCAAGTCCATGGTCATGTTTAATTAAAAATACAGTTGCCGTTGCTTAATTTTTTAATGTTTTTCCAGTTTTACTAGTGCCCCTTTGGGTATTAATAAAGGCACTAACGGGCACCCACAGTTTCAAAGGAGCAATGCCTGTCTAGCACACACGTGGAATCAAAAAGTCAAAGTCTTATAAATAAGTTATAACTTTTAAAATGTAATTAATGAATATTATTTATTATTAATATGTAATAAACGATACTCCCAGGCTTCTGAGGTTAACTTTTTTTATTGGCAAAGAATATTGAAATTCCGTCATTAATTGACAGCATGTGTGTATAAAGTTAATATAAACGTCACGAATATCCAATGAATTACGACGTTACAAACTTGTACAATGTTAATTAATATTATTAGCTTTATAATTAAATGTCAGTAGAATGTTTTCATAAGGAAATGCCATTTGTAAACATAAATGCATATAGCTGTTTACAAATCACCTTTTCATTCCTGTAAGTAATGTTAAGTCTGTAAATTATTATCTAATCACAAATCCAGCAAATCTATTTCTACCTCTTAAACTGGTATTTTGTCTCTGGAGTGCTGAGTGACGTATTTAAATGTGCGCCAATGAAATAGTGATCATTTAACATTCACTTTGAATTTTAACAAACATTTAGTGTGCAATTATCGTTTAAATTACAATTTAATCGTGGGCGGTAACTTGATAAAATTGCACCCCTGTAAATACCCTTTACTAGTACTCGAATGATTTCTACCTAGTGTTTTGAACAAACAAATTTATAACTAGAAATTTTTAATTAGATTTAACGATTCTATCAAAGACCACTTCAAAACAGATAAATTATTGCAGAGTAAATGACCGGAATAAAGTGACATTTTTTATCAATAAAGTACAAAAGATTTGAAATAATTGCTTTTTCCAAAGCAAACAAATATGATAAGCCGTGCAATCTGAACAATATTGTTCAGAAATATCTTGACATTTTACCCGCTAGGAAATGAATTAATTGTTCTATTTAAGGCTGAATATTTAATACATGAGTTAAGAAATACAATCGTAGCGTTATGAGTGATCGAAACAAATTGTAAAATAATCAATATAAACAGTTCCCTTGAGGAAATAAAGGAATATTACAAATCGATTTGTTTTCAATAATTAAATACAGATTATGTGACAATGTTTCCTATATTTCATGAACTTTATTTATCTTCTTTGCTTGATTTCCCGGTCCGAGTAATCACAAAAGACACTTAATAATACCAGTAACATGGCAGAGAAAATCCTATTAAATGTTTGTAACAGATTGTTTAAAGGATTTCCTGGTTATTACCATTGAATGCTCTATGTTTACATACATTTCAATTTTGTTGAAATGTTGCAAAACATTTATTCTTCATTTTTACTGACAGTTTTATTTATGAGCTACATGTCGTACCTATATGAGGCGTTTATGGTATGTATATATAACATTGCGCGTATCTATAACATGCATAATTAGAATACGATAAAGCAGCAACATCAAGAACAATAATAAAAACAAAAAGTCAACCCCCATAAGAAAAAAAAAGAAAAGAAAAAGGACGGCATATAACGAAACATTAACACTTTGATAATTGGTGCTATCAATTATGAACACCAAGTATTGTCATGATGCAGATTGTAAAGTTAGCCTCACGTCTCAGCTCGTCATTCTATATAGATCGAATGTCGAGCTGAATTGTGGGTAACACAATATTCCAGCTTATTATTTATTGTTCAATAACGTTCCAATTGTTGTAGAGACAGGCTTTTCTTGGCCCACATTAAGACATTTAATATGGTGCTTCTTGATTAATGTCAAGATCCGTTGACTTCATTAAACAACCTTTGCAACGTCGAATCGGATGCTGACATCCTTAAGCTGAACATCAAACAAGATAATGATGTGGAATACATTATTTAGTTTGGAATGATATTATGAATATCTATTTAATCCGCATTTAAGAATAGTTATGCAAAAGCAGAAAAAGAAAGAAAACAACTAAATGGTTGTTCAGTGCAATGTTTACTTTGATGTAACATATTTAGTTGAGATGAAAATATCTTACCAATCTAACCCAACAGTTTGTTTCCAGAATTTGCCGCGGTTCATTCTGAAATAAACAAAATGCAAATACTTCAATTAAGTTATGCATTGGCGAAAAATATGTATTTTTATAATAATTATGTAACCGAGTGAAATAGTTATAACAGAAAAAAAACACTTTGAAATATGCAAGTTAAATAATCAACGAAAGTTTTAAAGAAACTATTTAACACGTAAACTTGATCATTATTAAGTAAAAAATCTTTTTACACACTGACGTAAAATATATAATACAGAAAAGAATGAGTAATAGCAATTAAAGTCAGTTGCATTGATTAAGAGACCAAAGTAACACATATTTGACGTTTCTTGCTGCTTAGTTGGAATTATTTTGACAAACCATACTTTAAGGCTTGAAAATGGAGTTTGGCAAATTACATATAATAATTATCTTGATCATAAATTCAAATTAATAATAATTTATATCATAAGGTATTAAGAATTATTTTTGTTATACATGTACAACAATTGTTTTATCTTTTAAACTGATATCGTCCACGACTACGAAAATACAGTTTTACACGAGTTGTTACAAGTGCTGTTGTCCGTACAGATGTATGGATGCTGATATAATATGTGAACTTATTACCTTAGAATAACATTATTGTCTTAAGGGCGCACTTGCCAATGAAATGGTGTCATTAAATGATAAAATCTCATACATAGATGAAAACCGTCATAATCCCTGGACTGGATACGTATTTGATGGCTACTCTTTGGGGAGATTTATCATATTAACATCAAACATTCACAGATTCTATAAATAATTGTTTTGCATAAATTGATTTCGGGTTCTATGTGGGATTAATCGGCGATGAATATGAATAATTAAACAATGAAAATATCAAATGTTTAAACGGTCAATTCTAGTAAACCCATCTTAAATTGTGTCGTTCTAGGAATTAAGGACATCAAAGCTTTAGGGAGAATAACGCCGTATTGTTATGATAGAATATAATTTGTCCCAGAAACCAGACAAAGCTTTCATTGTATGATACATATTTATCTGGGTCATTTACATTATAACAACAAGGTTATGATACAATATTTGATTCTTGATATTTATATTTTATTTTATTTATTTCAAAACATTCTATACTTTCCAATGAAACAAATTAACTATGAACATATAAATCGCGTCGAAAAGACTAACATATTAAAGTACTATACTTGTAAAGAAGAGCAAGAAACTATATACATTTATATTCTTAGCCATAGCATTAATTTGAATAATTTTTATTGAATTAAATGAAATGTTCTTTATTGACGTTTTAATGCAATATTGTAATATATACAAACATGGGACCGGAACCGATTTTCATCACTGTAAATATTATAATCTTGATAATAAAATACCATACACTTTTCCATTAAAATCATAAGCTGAGCAGCAAGGTTAAAACAAGACATAATAAAATTACCGAAAATGAATGAATTTTAGAAATCCTAGAAAGATATATTTATTTGAACATTGACTTACTAGATCAATAATCTGTCTCAGAGCGAGGCCGACCTTGACTTGTACTGCTTCGTGATTCGCACACTTCGGTAACACGTGTGGCGTGTAATTGGCGAACAATCTCTGGTATAATGTTTCTAGTCTAACTTCCCCAACACAAACTGCAATGACAGACAATCATTTGTAAGTAAAAATACATCTACAAATTATAACTCCAAATGTTTATACTTTATTAGGTTTACAAAGGCTGTGAAAAATGTGTTTCAAAATACGCAAATGCTCGTAACGTTAAAGATCCTGATCAATCTCTCATAAACCTTACCTACATGAAAGTCATGTTAAAGATCCTTTATGTTGTAATTAAGGATTTTACAACACTAAAGTGAAATTTTATATATGTGTATAATTATTCCTCTAAGTAATTTCCAAACATCCAAGAATATGTTAAATATGTAATGCGCATTAAAAGTAATTATTAAAATATAGGCATTCATTTCTTTAAAAAACAAATAAGAACTATATTCTATTTATGATATAACATCAACCAGTATTTTTTTTAGCATCAACCAACCAATTCTGATCTCAGGAAAGACAATTAATATCAGATTATGAACGAATCTTAAATAACTGATTAAATAAGTGATGGTTTCAAAACATTAATTTCCTGCCCATCTGAGGTGTCTTTATCTCTAATGCAAACATTTTTAGTCGCAATGAGCATTCTCAACACAAATCTTTCACTTAGTATCATAACAGTTTAAAGGTAAAAATTATTTTATTTTCTTTTTAGAAGTTGACGATCACAGCATTTGACATTATGTGATAAAATTGTGTCAAATTTAGTATAACTATCACTGATTGCTCGTCTATGGTTTCAAGTAAAGGCAAGACTTCATGCAGTCAGACCAGAAATCTTTCAGTGAAGTCTCTATTCGTATTTCATATCTGAGCTATTTATGTCTTTGAAACTGACATGGGGCCGATTCCAGTCCTAGTAACACAAATAAGGCATGGAAATGTTTAAAATGTTAAATATTCATTATGCTCTAGGATCCGTTCGAATACAGCACAAAAGGGTGCTCATTGTTCTTTTAATACATAGCTCCTCGGGGATCAGTTCTCGACACTTTCCATCGATAGACAAATGCAGGTCAGTGTTTTATCGTTTAATGTGGCTTACTGTTGTGATTTGAAGTGAAAACTACCAACAACACCGTCATCAATAATTATTACAGTTATAGTGATTTGGTATGTATTGAAGTCAAAATATCACTTCGTTTACATGTTGCTTCCTTCATGACAACGTATTTCACAATCAATGCTATTTTCTTCCGGTAATAAGCATCTCACATACTTTTAATATGCTGTTAAGATATAATAAAACACATTTTTTTGTATCTCTGGAGAAAAAACCTTCAACATGATGACGTTATCATGGTGTTAACAAACACGGGACAACAAAATGTAAACAGGTGCAGTTGTAATAAAATTGGCTGTATCGTAACAATTTACTGTCTGTCTCTGTGTCAGTATGTGAGTTTGTCTATCTACCTGTCTGTCTCCCTGCCTGTCCAGTCGTTCGTCCGTTCGTTTGATCTTTTACGATCTCTTCTCTGTCATGCATACCAAAATAATATGGCATTTAATTGTTGTCGAATTATATTTTTAGTCTCTTGAACACATCTACTCCGTATTTTATTTTTCTGTCCGGCTTTTGCCAGTCTTTACCAGTCTTTATTTAATGGAAAATACAATGTCTCTTAAAATCTTTGAAATGCTTTTGAAATCATGTGAGAGCAGATGATGTATACTGTTTCTGTGCCAGACATGCTTTTATCTATCAAATAGTTCTCGTTTTTATCATGGTGAATGAAACATTTAACTTAAATAAACAGATTCGACAGATAATTTTAATTTGCTCATACCTGTGCTAATTGCAAAATGCAAAAATATTACTTCAAAAAGACACAGATAAACATCACGCCTAATGCTTTTAATAACATTATGATTCTCTCCAATGTTAACAAATACTAACGATTACAGTCTAAACAGAAGTTTCTCCCCGTTGCAATCAAACTATCTAACTTCAATCATCGGTAAATATTTAACCGAATAGAATGAACGTACAATTTCGATCATTTGTAATGATGCACGTAACTGGTTTGTTTTGTCATGATTATATAGTCGTAAATACTTTAAATATATGCCAGGAATCTAAAGGATGATTTAAAAAGTTCATTAGATCTTTCCAACAGTGACCTAATGGTGTATATCCTTTCTTCTCTAACGATGCACCTTAATTGTAATAACCGCCATATAAAAATTGGCAAAACGACTTTAATATAATAATCATATAAAATAAGACCTTTCTACTGCTGTTTACAGTATATTTTTATTTTGCCTTCAAATTTGAACTCGACATTTTGATTGTAATTTAAGATTTAATATATGCATCATTTTTATATAGATTACCTTCCTGAATTAAGAACGGAGTTTAGATTTAATACTATCATCACAATGCATATTTTACTTGTTAGATTGCATGGATGTTATTGAGCTGAAGTCTGGTATTCCAGTGAAACATAAAACTTAAACTGAATGTAATTAGATTATTTGTAATTAAAGACGACACATATCAATATACATACTTTACATAAAAAATTGTTAAAAAATTAAGTAACACCTTATGAATATTTTCCGAATTTAATTACAATGTATTTTTCATTGTGGACAATATTTATAGAAATTATATTGATTTCCATGCGAGATCATAAAACAAAATAATTAATTCAGTTCATTCGTTTATTAGATTATAATGATTAAATAGCTAAATTAATAAAATGTCAAACAAATACTGTCTGGAAAATACTTCAGAAATCCATATTATATTCTCCTTTTATTGACATATAATTGCTTAAGTTGTTATCTATGCATTGCCTTAGTGACACTACAGTTGTTTGGAATTGACTCATCTTAGCCATCAAGTCTTCTGCCAAACGAAAATATAAAAATATCTATAGCCAGTCAAAATATGGAGATGTTCTTTGCATACTGTTGCAAACTACATGATTGTAGGATGTAAAATATATTTATAAAACAACATAAGCGATACTGATCTAAAATTTCAATTAAACAAATATTACTAACATTTCAAATATTTATTTAAAGTGTATAAATTTATAAATCATTATATATATATATCTTTGCATGCTATGTTGAGCAATATGTTTCGCTTAAATTGGCTTTTTGATATTGTTGTGTTTGTGATATTGTGGCGATAGAATAGCGTTAGGTAAAAGTGCAAAGTTAAGAAATAGAGATTTAATATTTTCCTCTTTTGCATGTGAGTCAACACAAAAACTAGAACCAGTTCTATATTGAAACAATAATATGACATTATTTAATTTCTTTCTGTTATATACATAAATTATAAATATGTTCTTGTTAATTGTTCATGTCGTAAGTTTACATCAATTAAAAATAATTAAATGCAAGTTTCAGTTAAATTAAGTTAATTTAAATTACACATCCGCCCATGACTTAATTTTTTACTCATAACTTTGAACAAGTTTAATATCCAGAGGCATAATTAATTGTTACAGATTCAATATAAAGAAAATACAAAAGTTTCAGAATAATTAATGTAAAGATATAAGCAGAATATATAAATAAAGTAAATCCTGTCCTAAAACATAAAGAAGTTGCAAAAAAAAAGTTAACTTAGTTTTTTTTAAAGTGAAACACAAAACAAGATAAAATAAACATAGTTCAAAGAAACAAAATCTGGTCAAAATCCATTATTTAATTTTATTATACAGTTATGAACAAAAATATAAGAATTTATTAAATGTTCCTTACCACGAATTTCATTTCCAAAAAGGAGTAAACCAATAATCAATAATTTATTTGTACACGTATTCCAGGAAAAACATGTAACAGACATTTTTCGAGTTGAAAATATCACCATCATATCCGAAACAACAGCGTTTCATTAACCAATGTTTGACTTAAGTGAATCTACTATTTGAGGCCTCTTCAGTCAATAAATTCAATACTATATTGGGAATAGCTGCAATATTGGAAAGTCTACGATGATGATATTACATATTTCCGATGATTTTAGCTTCGGTTACCTATATTATACATAATATTTAAATCCCATACATTTCATGCCTGTATCATGGAAAAACAATTGATTCAAAACCACTTTATTTAGAGAAATCCTTCAGGAAAACTCGTTCTCATGTAATATGTGTATGTACACTTCAGTTACCAATTTCTTATATATGTTATCAAAGTTATCTGTTGATCAATGACTGTTATAAACTACATGACCAGAAATAATATATGTTTTGTTAATCTGATAATACTTTTTTCATGCAAATTATAGACTGAATCAAAGTCTTCACTGACGTTTTTTTTCCTGATTTCGAATTTGTTACACTTTTCTGCTATAGACTACAAGCGAGGTAATTGGTGGTCCAATTTGTTACTATTACAGGAGTTGCCGTATATGGCATATGACGTTTATGCAGTCGTTCTTCATGGCAACAAACTGTCCGGTATAAACATTTCTAAAGCCTTTTCGATGAGGTATTTTAAAAGAAAATACGACATAAAAATGCAAGTTAATATTTCAAATTGATTTTGAGTGAATTATATCAATTTAAATCCAAGAAATATTACCTTAATAGTTAAAATTATGCTCAGCCGATGAGTAGAGAAACAAATATTAGAGAATTTCAATTGTCAAGACCTAACATCGATTTTAATTCTTATTAATTATTTTCCTTCAATACGTATTGAAATATGAAAACAAACATGATCAACACGGAAGGGTGGCAATCAGTGAACGCACCTCGAACATAGGATCCCCGGACATGACACCAATAAGTTCAGGGCCACATCGAAATCTGACAGTTTTACCTAGTTTCACAAATAAAAGTACCAATTGCAGATAGGATATCTCAAGAAACAATTAACAAAGATGACTAAGTGATATCTATTTTATAAATGGCTCCATGCACTGCCTTTGTGTCGATAGCAGTACAACAAATATATTCCATTTTTCTATCTTTGAAGTTGCATATAGAAATTATAGAGGCATATAAAGATTGGAAGCTATTTAACTTTAATTAAAAATAATAAAATGAAATAGAAA